TTCCATTGAACTACGAGAGCCTTAATCTCAGTTTTGTGTTGACATAATTGGTGAAATGTCCCGCCGCATCAGATATCGGCAAAAACAAAGAGGGATCCAGTCAAAGCCTGGCCATATTGGGTAAATTTTAATTTGTGTGTTCTTACTTTGGATTTCATAGCCGTAGTATCTTTTTAATTTGGTGTCTATTTGCGGGACAATGACAACACTGCAGGTTTGCTGGTCAAATGGGAACTTCGACACATCAAATGAACTCGACATTTCAGGCATCAAGACAAGCCGTTCTGACACAACCCATCCATTGTTCCAAATGATATTTTTAGTCGGTTTTATGTTGAAACTGGGATCAACAATGTTCTCAATCGCTGAAACAACAAATTAATCAATCATTTTCGTTCCGAATTTTAAGAGAATGGAATAATCCAGCTTGGTGTTTATTTTATTCCGACATAGTTCGGCTTTTTTTTACTATAACCTAAGCTGAAGAAAGATTTTAACACAATCTGAAAAGTATGAACGCCCTGCGCTCAATTTTGAATAGATGTTTTGGATAAGATCTTTTTTCGTGAGCTTATACAATTAACGCGCGATAATGAAGTCGTTCCAATTTGTTTGAAGGAAGCTTATTTGTCATAATCGATTTGTTACTAGGAGCAAAATCTTTCACTTAGTACTTGCCGCGTGGGGGAATGATTTTCACAAAAAAATCTCAAAGTTAAACAAAAAATTGCGTTTTTTTTATTAAATAGAATTTTTTGTTTTATTACTGCTCCATAGACCTTCTTCTTTCGGATAGAATTAACTTTTGAAAACCGAGGGCGCCTCAAATTAAATTGATCATATGTGCAGACCGGTTTAGGTTCCAAGCTTGATTGTCTTGACAAGTAGTCTGCGCGACCGAATTTCGCTCAGATTTTATGTTCTACTTGGAATTCAAATGGTATAATGTGATCTAACCACCGTGTTGTTCGACTGAATATGGTCTTTTTCTTTTTCTTGTTCCCGTTTAGCAGTGAGAACAAAGCCTTATAATCTGTAATAACCAAAAAAGATTCCCAAAACGTAGTTTTGGAAACATTCGGCCCCCACACGACCGCCAGAAGCTCCAGATTGCTTGGCGAGTACTTCTTCTCAGCGTCGTGGAGGTAGCTAGATGCGAAGGTTAGTGACCTCCAGCCGTCGGAACCTAATTGCTCGAGTAATTTTGCAATTTAAGAATTTCCTCTGATTCGTCTCAAGTTTAACGCCCGAGACTTTCGAGAGGACAAATGGCTTCACGCATGCCAATGAACGTAACAAAATCCTACCTGAACCAAAATAACGAGCTGTATACTCCATATAACTGAACAAAGAAATGTCGATTGGCGCACGATGATTTTTTTCAAGTGACTTAAATATGCTTCTAATTTGCTCAATTCTCAACTCTTAATGCTTCATATGTTTTTTTGCTTAAGATTCAAGTTTAGTATAAATAATAGTTTGGTATGCAAATAATTATACAGACAAATCCTTAAAATCCAGATTGCTTGGCGAGTACTTCTTCTCAGCGTTGTGGAGGTAGCAAGATGCGAAGGTTAGTGACCTCCAGCCGTCGGAACCTAATTGCTCGAGGACAGTGCCGAGCCCGTTATGATTCGCTCCGCAAACTATCCTTGTATCCCGGTGTATGTCGAAATGCTGTAGTTCGACTATGTTCGCTACTTGCTCCTTTAGGTTATCGACTGCTGTTTGACACTCTGGTCTCCAGATAAATTCGTTTTTTTTGGCTTAAGAGGTGGCGTAACTGGGCTGATGACTCCGCGAGCGCTGGGAGGTATTTGTGCAGACCATGAATCGAAATTACTTGGGCTGTGAGACGGTTCAAAAGGCCTTTAAAGACTCAATTGGGTCCGTTTTTCGGATAAGCGGGGTAACGCATGTGAATTAGATTTTATGCCCCAACCAATTATATCCGTTTTGATCGAACTTGGTCTTAGTAAATTTTATTGGCATATTCTCCTTGTCTATTATACGTAGGTTCTTTTCGACCGCTGATATATGCTCGATTTCACTACCTTTGGTGACAACCAGGATTTCATCTATAAAACCGTGTGCCTGTGGAAACTCGGATAGGATTGCGTCCATCACTCTTTGAAATTCCGCAGGCATCGTCGGTACTCCAAAAAACCCCGTTTTGAAACGGTGCGCTCCTGTTGATTTTCCTCCCACCAATAATAAATTACCTTGTACGCTCGTTTTCGGAATAAGTGGTAGCTTTCCGTATGCGTATGTGGGATCCATCGTAGAAAAAAGCCGTCCACCGTTTTTTGTTCACTTATAGTCTGCCCTAACGTGTCCATGAATTCTTTGATGTTTTGCATTTGATATTTGTTTCTGTGGACTAAATTATATAATTCTCTGGATTCCAATGCTTGTTTTACTGACCCGTTTTTCTTCACCGTACCTACTTTTGGGGATAAAAAGTTTTTCTCAGAGCATTCTTCGACTTTTTCGATGTGTCTTTGTTTCAAAGTTTCACTAATTTCTTTATCAACCTTCTCTTGCAAGACTATTGGGACCTTCTTCCTTTTAGTTGAACTGGAATTTAATTTTCAAAAAGTTCCGCTTGTATTTTGTAGTTTTTTATTTCACCAACAAGGCGAAAAAGATTTTAAACTTGCTTATTGAAGTATAGTTGCCATTGATCTAGTGGTGCCTCTGCGTTGGACGTTTCTGCAACCTCTTGTTTTCCTTAGATAGACATCACGTTCTCCCACGGTGACTTCTGGATTAGCTGCAACGCCAGGCTAGACATCAAGTTCATTCCAACAATAGATGGTCTGCTGCCTCCTATCACCTTGATCTTTGCTTCGACCACCCATCGGCTTGTTTCCAGGAAAACTATAATTTTCCTTAAAAGGTGTAGTTGATTGTTACTGTAATCCCTGAAATCGTTATCCTCTGGTTTTAGCTCGCTCAATTTCACTCCTGAGGAGACCAATGTTCTCCATAGTTCTCCGATGATAAATACTGAGGTCGGCGATTCGCTTTCTATCCAAACACTCGTCTGTTTGCCGTTAATCTTTATCGGTAATTTCGCTCCCCCAACCTTTATTTCGGTTTCTTTTCTTGAGTGAAAGGCCTTGACAACATAGTCGCCCGAACTGTCGAAATCCCACGATCGGTGTCTGTACCCAGGCATGCTAACCCATCCGACGGAAATTTCGTGCTGCTAGTGTATGTCTTCCGGGTTCGCTCAAGTCCAGATACTCTTGACCTTGGTTTAGCCCCACTGCCGGGCGTCCTCAGTTGCTACGCGTTCCCCTGTACGTTTTCCGCATTGGATTGTTTTTCGGCAGAAGTTGCAGGTCGCGCTTCTCGCCGGGCATCTTTTCATGTGTTCTGGGGTAAAATTGGGCTGGTCGCATTTAAAGCACCTTTTATTTCCTTGTTGCGCTCCCTCTCGGAATTCCAGTCGTCCTCGAGATGGTCCTCGTCCGCGTTGTATACTGTTCCTATATCTGCACCGGATTGCCCCCTCCGGTTCCGTTTTGATCTGAAACGCTTCACCAGTAGTGCTGCTCGGTGTCGTTCCTCCGGTTGTTGATACGTACGTTTTTGCGTACTTTTCTCCGCGCTCGTAAGACAGCGCGATGCGGTACACCTCCCTTGGTGTTTTCGACGATCGGCATATTTCGTTTTGGGCCTCTCTGTTATTCATGTTCACGATGAATACGTCTCGTAGGATCCTGGTCTCCAATGCTCCGAAATTTCAGCGTGCCGCCAGTCCACTTAAGACCGAATGGAACTGCTCCAATGAATCCCCGATGTGCTGTTTCCTGGCTAACAGCTGAAAAGTTTCATACGTCTCGTTGTGTTCTCTCCTGAACTTAGTTTCCATAGCATCAATTACCCTGAAATAACGGGTCGAACCAAGACCAGATGCGGTTTTATCCTGTGGAATATGTCCTGTCTTTTTTGACCCAGGCACAAATTTAAGTTCAAAATATTAGCGTCTGCTCCGCCTCCAATCGATTTGCTCCATCCACCTCCTCCGGTAGGGCCGCAACTTGGGATGTTGTTAGCGTAGCTGCACAGTAGAAATTTTTTGGGTTATTACTATGCTTAGCCACCATTGCCCATTGAAACCGATTAAACCAAAACTCCCGCGAACTTAGGGGAGCCAGAACGACGTAATCCCCAGTGGGTTTTCCCCTACTTTGGCCTGCTGACTGCGCCACGTCAAGAAAGATATTTCGATATTGTAAATTTCAGAACGAGAGATTTGAACTGCAATTCATAAAGTTAGTTGGAGACAAGGAAATAGAGGTCAACCAAAGGTGACAGACAACTCCGAAGGTTAATTACCAGTTAGCGTCAGACAGATAGATTGAATACAGTTGGAATAAATAGAAAAAAATTAAATTGGACTGTGAACTAATTTAATTACTATGACAATTTTAATCTATGACAAATGGCAGAGAAATTTTATGTTTTCGAGCTATTCGACAAAGTATTTGAGCCAGGGGTGAATCTAAAATTTTCTGGAGGGGTAGATTTTTGAAAAGTTTCAAAAATGTTGTCGACGTTTTTTAGGTCAACCAAATTGGTTATTTGTATTTCTGAGCTTGTTATGGAGACCTTATTGTGAACATTGTTTGCGCCATAGACAATTTTTTTGAAAAACAGTCCAAAACAAGCACTTTTTAGGCACTTTTTGGAAAATTTTGGCCAAATAACTGCGTTTTTTTGACGCGCGCTCCTGCCTCAGGAAATATTTAGTGTCCATTAGCCGAATTGGATATTTTAAAATTGATCAAAAGGGAGAGCCCTTGGGTCGACAGGGGTCGAAACCCTGATTGGGAGGAAAAGAAGATACCCCCCACCTCATAAATCCGCTACTGATTTCATCTATTTAGAAAAAAATGTGATCTCGTATTTGTAAAAATTACAATGTGTTTATTTTAATTTTAAGACAAGGTGTCTGTGAGATTTTGGCCTCAAATAACTGAGGATTTGAATTACTTGCCTAAGACCGTAACCAGACACAGCGCTCCCATATGTCCCAACACCCGAACCAGGAACTTCAACAGGTACGGTGGGTGGACGGAACTGGGCGGCAACACATCACTGAGAGCCGAGAAGGCGACAACTTGAGCCAGTAGAATGGTAACTGCGAATGATATTTTCTCACATGCATCCGAGGGGAGAAGAAATGACAGCCCCGATAGAATATAGATCACAATTGTTGGGAGGACGATTACAAAAGTGTAATGCAGAGGACGTCTTTTGAGCTGGACAGAAACAATTACCCGGTCGCGTTGGTAGCTTCCGCTAGCCGTGACTGATATCAGCTTCCATTGTTCATCTTTAGTGAACAAATCATCTTGGCTTCCTCCGGACTTGTCTGCAAGCAAACATAGTGGCGTTGTTGTTATCAATTAAAGTTGAATTTTTATTTCATTAAGAAAAAACAAGTTGCAATATTATTATCACTAAGATAAATAACCACCTCATGTTTAGCCATACCACCCTCTTGGTATGTTAACCACGTACTCTTTTTTGTGTGTTTTTTTCAACACTTTACTTTCTATGCGGTTATTTCAAATTAGCAACCCCCTCCCACTATAAAGTGAAACCCCACAATCTATTTATAGTCATATAGAGAGGGGATGCGCACGTCAAAAAAATCTGAATCACATCTTTCAAGGAGCCACCATTCCTCAAACATTATCCTGCACTGCATAAAAAGATATGAGCACATAAAATAACGAAAAAATAAAACTTTGTGACCGCTCTAAATTGGGAAGTTAAAAATCTTGTAAAATTTCAGGTTACGTTTTTTGTAAAACTTGTAAAAGAGTCAGGTTACGTTTTTGCGCGCCTCATATTGCTTTACGCAACCCATGTTTTGACTTTGCGCAACTTTAACCTCGATAGGCCTAATGGAATTTTGTTTCCTAGATATGTCACGGACCTCGGTTGTCCTATCATTTAGCCATAGACACCATAGGATGAAAATATAGGATCTCCCATATCGATGAATAAACTTCCACTTACTTCAATTCTTACACAAGCCTGCTCGTATACCATTAACCTTCATGTTGAAGTCGATTTGAAAGTTTTTTTTGGTTTAAAAAATTGACGACATAGTTGAACAAACAACCTTTTTTTCACTTTTTCCTTCAATTTATCGCCGCACAATGTAATGTAAATTATAAAGAAGCCTGTTAGGATCTTGTGTCAGAATAACGCGACTAAATGACTAGCCTCAAATCAATTTGGAATGCATTAATTCGCCGCTTACGCGGGTTATAAGAACGCAATATACCGAGCGTTAATTGTCTCAAGTTGGTCAAGTTAACAATTTTCAAACCCTCATAACTTCACAAAAAATGACCACAAGCAGAATATCTTTTAAAATTTCAGCTCAAGGCAATAATTTATATCAGAGGTTTTAAAATCTTTCCCCAAAATTGTCTTATTGAGAAGTCGAAAATTGACTGAACAAGACTGTTCGTATATCAAGTCAAAGCCCTTATTAATCCGACTGTCTCTTAATTCATCGATTAGCTTTGGGAAAAAAATATTGAAAACCTATAAATTTTGGACAATACCAATGTGTGAAGTTTTGAGTCATATGAAATTAATACGACTGATCTAATTAACATGCCTCATTTCAATTTGGAACGATTTTGTTGAGCAGGATAAGTCGCCACGCATAACTAATTACGTTCTCAGCATTATGAATGAAATCTTCAAAGCACGCATAATTTAGTCCAAAGCAACATGACCAATTTAGCAATTTTCTAATTTTCAAACCCCCAGAAATTTACAAAAAATAATCGGAGGTGAAAAAAAAAACTTTTTAAATTTGAATTCAAGAGGTCGATACCTTCAATGGGGTAGAAAACTATGATTTTGATCGGCGAAAATTGACTGAATAAAAAAAACCACACCGATCATAAACGTTCCGTTTTCTTCGAAAGTCGGAACAATAAAACAAGACCGCTCGTATCAGAGCAAAATGCTGAATGTCATTTAATTGGACTCAAACAATTTTTTGTAAATAAAATGGCAAAATTTTGAATTTTAAGCTGATTTCATTAAAAAATAAAAATTGCAATTTGAATCGTGTTTGGAATTAATAAAACCAATTAGCTGCCTCAACTCAAAAAAGATAGTTCCCCTGAGGAACCTGATTTTTGTGAAATTGGACTGAATATCAAAAACTACCCCGAGCATAAGTTTTCCTGACTTTTTTCAAAAGTCGGAACAAAAACCGTACCAAGCATAAATTTTCTGCACTTGCTTCGAAAGTCGGAACAAAATTGTATTATTCTTACTAGAACTGACAAGTCAATTATGCATCAAAAAATTTTTTCCATTGAACTAAGAGAGCCTTAATCTCAGTTTTGTGTTGACATAATTGGTGAAATGTCCCGCCGCAAACAGATATCGGCAAAAACAAAGAGGGATCCGGTCAAAGCCTGGCCATATTGGGTAAATTTTAATTTGTGTGTTCTTACTCTGGAGGTCATAGCCGTAGTATCTTTTTAATCTGGTGTCTATTTGCGGGACAATGACAACACTGCAGGTTTGCTGGTCAAATGGGAACTTCGACACATCAAATGAACACGACATTTCAGGCATCAAGACAAGCCGTTCTGACACAACCCATCCATTGTTCCAAATGATATTTTTAGTCGGTTTTATGTTGAAACTGGGATCAACAATGTTCTCAATCGCTGAAACAACAAATTAATCAATCATTTTCGTTCCGAATTTTCAGAGAATGGAATAATCCAGATTGGTGTTTATTTTATTCCGACATAGTTCGGCTTTTTTTTTACTATAGCCTAAGCTGAAGAAAGATTTTAATACAATCTGAAAAGTATGAACGCCCTGCGCTCAAATTTGAATAGATGTTTTGGATGAGATCTTTTTTCGTGAGCTTATACAATTAACGCGCGATATTGACGTCGTTCCAATTTGGTTGAAGGAAGCTGATTTGTCATAATCGATTTGTTACTAGGAGCAAAATCTTTCACTTAGTACTTGCCGCGTGGGGGAATGATTTTCACAAAAAAATCTCAAAGTTAAACATAAAAAATTGCGTTTTTTTATTAAATAGAATTTTTTGTTTTATTACTGCTCCATAGACCTTAAAAGGCAGTCGGAACATTCAGGGCTTTGGCCAGCTGCGATCAGTCTTGCTGAGTATTTTAATGAAATCGACTTAATCTTTGTGTAGCTCTTTGAGCAGTTCTTTTGTTTTGATGTCTGTTTTTGATTTTTTTGTTTTGATGTCTGTTTTTGATTTTTTTTCGATCGAACTACCCATGACTTGACTAACCCGTGTGCATTGAGTGCTTCCGCTTATAGTGTGAGTGTTGACTTTTGTTCTCATTAGCAGTTGTACATCAATATTTTTTGAGCAAATTTCGTAAACTATAAATTTCGTGCCATTTTGGCGGCAGTAAAGCTGAATACTGAGTAGTTATTCACACTGACTAGCTGCGCCAGGTGATAAAATAAGCAGACTGATGGATTGGATTATAGTGCGATTTTTGAAAAACGATTCGGCTACTATATTCCAATAAAAATTAGAGAAGTTTGCCAGAAAAAGTTTATTCAATATTTGATCATATTGAAAAAGAAAATATTTTATCGCACTTAAGGATGGGTACCAAAACGTGTCCTCGGGAACCATCAGACACTCTATCCCTCCGAAGTCTTCCAAACTCCACAGCAAAGGTGACTCGTAAGCAGACAGATTGAAAGCATAATTCACGCGAAAGGAGATCTTGGCCTTCCACGTGCCTTTCCGCTCGTTCAAACCGATGATTTGCTTCACCGTTGCTACGACAGTAACCGGTCCAAGTGCAGATAGATTCGGTTTGATGAGTCTGGGCGTTTTGGCTCTTATAAGGCTCAGTAGTTTTTCTTCAACTTCTGGGTAATTGACTGCACCCCTAGCCCTGCTATTTGACATTTCTTCAAGGACTGATGCATTGTTGCCCTTGAAATAAATATTAGCGAAATTGACTTAAATGGACTTAGCAACTAATTAAATACGTTTTTCTCTCATAAATTTTTTGCATTGTTCAGGGGAGGGACTAGAATTTTCTCGAGGGGGATGTGTTCTAAGTATGTTTAAAGATCTTTCTTGTTTAGTCGACTCAATTGATTTCCTGAGCTCTCAAAAAGCAACTTAGCGACCCTAATTTGAAGAGGTTTTATGCACCTCAGTCAAATTGAAAAAAAAAATTGTTCAAAAACGCCGTGTATGGACACTTTTTGGAAGATTCTGACTAAATGATTGTTTGGCGCGCGCCTCCCCTCAAAATTAGTATATAATGACAGCAAAAGTGCCTTTAAAAACATTACCAAAGAGGGGAGCATTTGGGCGCTGAGGGGGTCAAATCCTCGAGAAAAGGTGTCCTCGCACCCGCCTTTCCCCTCGGAAAATCCGCCCTTGACAATGCTACTGGATATCAAACCGCCTCTTAGAATCCGAAAACTCCTTTATTTTAAAAGTTGTTGTTTTTTTTTGTAATTTTGCAACTTAAGAATTTCCTCTGATTCGTCTCAAATTTAACGCCCGAGACTTTCGAGAGGACAAATGGCTTCACGCATGCCAATGAACGTAACAAAATCCTACCTGAACTAAAATAACGAGCTGTATACTCCATATAACTGAACAAAGAAATGTCGATTGGCGCATGATGATTTTTTTCAAGTGACTTAAATATGCTTCTAAGTTGCTCAATTCTCAACTCTTAATGCTTCATATGTTTTTTTGCTTAAGATTCCAGTTTCTAACTCAAACTGCCAACCGCTGAAGTTTAGTATAAATAATAGTTTGGTATGCAAATAATTATACAGACAAATCCTTAAAATAAATAGAAAAATCTTCTTGTCAGGTTTCAACACAGACTGAACAATCAAAAATCAAACTTTGGTCTTGCAGGGATTACTCTTTGATCGTCTGTTGATGCTCCGCCCATTTCAAAAGTTGTTTAAAACAACAAAGGCCAAAAGCCCCTCTCAAAAAAATTTTTCACGCTTGGGCTAAAAACCGCTTTTATGGAGCCTCAAAAGTTTGTCGGTAACATTTGACTTTTGGCTCGGTGCACGTGATTTTTGTTTCAGCTTTGACTTTTTTTCCAATTTTGTATCAAATCTGATTGCGTTTTCAGTTTTTTTCCCAGAATTCCGGATCGAGGTGCGCGACTTAAGAAAAAATTTTGCAACAAGGCCAAACTGTGCATTTTAAGAAATTTACTCTTTTTTGTTATTTCACCCTCATTGATCGTTCCGACAAAGTTTTAATTTGTTTAAGAGGCTTTTTGCAGTTGCGCCGGGTTACGAAAATACTGACGGCGCGACTTAGAAAAAAATTTAGCGGCGCGATTTAAGAAACTGTCGATGTATAAGTCAAGATAAACTTTTCACAACAGTATTCACGGCAACCAATCAATAGAAGTTGAAAACTTTCCTGCTAATTATTGCATTGCTTAGTAAACTGCCCGGGTTGAAGTTGTATTGCAATTCAGAAATGTATCATTGTCATTGCATTGTTTTGACATGTTTAAGGGATAATCCAACTCAAATACATAGATTTACTCTGTTTCAACTATGTCCATTATTTTACCCTTAATTATTAAAAACCTTGATGTGACATCGATAAAACGTTTATGTCACATCCAAGTTTGTCTATTTTGAACTGTTTTCGAAAACTAATAGCAAGTCGAGCTGATAAAAAACAAAATAAGGTCAATAATTTGTTTTACCAGATGAAAAAGAAGAACAATTCATTTTCTCGGTGCTGTTTTTCCTCTTGCCAATTGCTTCTCTGTTGTGAGTAACAACTCTAGCGCGAACCCTCACGAGACACTGCAGCGGTAGGGTAGATCTCGGTGTCGTTTTCCTCCCAAAAAGGGAATTCCTCGAGGGTGCTGTAGTAGCCGAATAAGGAAACTAAGTGCATTTTTGATAGAGATTATATACTGAGTTTATGCAGGTTTCATACAGTTTGTGTACATATTTTTACAATTTATTCACACTATGAAATCGATTTTATTTTCATTTAATTTTTTATACAAAAACTGTGAACTGATAAAAAAGTTTTGTTACGTGTCTTGTTTCGTTGAAAATAATCAAAATCGACTTAAACATGATAACCTTGACAAAATAATACCAAAACTTCAAAATTGACAATTTATTTCTGCTCAAATTAGTTGTATTGCTTGATAATGTTAGTGTGTGCTTGTGTTTGTTGTGAGGGGGAGTGAAATGGAAAAAAAAACTGTGGAAAAGGAATTTTTCTTCCGAAACTGGAAAATCCCAGTATCTACCTAACTTTTTAGATTTTTATACTTTCCCGTATCGTAACAGATTCCCTGAGAAGGATGTAAGAATGTAGTTCTCTCGTTCAGCCCCGATTGTGAATCATGTTTTCCGGCCACAGGCATGAAAAATTGAAAGCGTAGAACTTCGTGCAAAAAAAAACTTTTGGTTCAACCAAGCTTTTTTTTCAAGATGAAAAATTTAGAAACGAGGAGCAATGCAATTTTTTGTGGACCTCTGTGACGTTTATTGCTATAGTTGATCGTTTTATGCTGACATTGAGTCTTTAAAAATTAAGTGTACTTATCTGACAAACAACATAGTTTTCCAGTCCTAAGACTTGAAAACGAAGTAGTTAAAAGACAAATTGATTTTTTTTACTACCAAACGTCTTTTTTTTTGGAACAAACAATAACGAGCTTAATGTTTTGTTGAAGTAGTATATCTTAAACACCATAATAACCACGTACTTAACCATATTTACCCATTCTAGCCGAAACTGGACTAAGAGATACTTACATCAGCTTTTTACCAAAAAACGTACATCAATTCAATAGGTGCATAGGAATTATCACGAGGAGGAAGAAAAGTTGCAACAATTGGGACAAAACAAGAAGATAATTGAAATTGATCAAAAAGATTCGCACAAATGAAATTCATTCAAATTGTCAGGAACAAAAAGATGAAATTATCGACATTTTATTAACAAACCTATTTGATTTTCGTTTAATTCGTTTTTTTTGTCATTTGGTTTTAAACTGGCTGAATATGTCATTTTTTGAAAGTCAAAAAATCTCAGATTAGATATTTTTTTTATTTTGATGTTGAGAAAAAATGATGAAAAACTAATGGTGAATCTCAATTAGTCATCTAAAGATATATACAACTTGTAGTTTCCCAAAAGTTTTTTTGTCATCTGGTTTTCAACTAAACATGTCATTTTTTGAAGATCAAAAAATCCTAGATTAGACATTTTTTTTATTTTGATGTTGAGAAAAAATGATGAAAAACTAATAGTGAATCTCAATTAGTCGCATCTAAAGATATATACAACTTGTAGTTTCCCAAAAGTTAGTGATGTTCCCAATAAAGTTGTGAACGAAACTATGTTATTTCTTAAAACTGCTGGTGTAGTCACACTTACATAAATGAGCCAATCTATTTTTGTGCATCAGTTATCGTTGGTTTTCTCGCTCAAGTTTTGTAACTTTTTGAGAAAGATCAAAAAATGTCTCATGAAAATTTTTACCAAAAAGAAAACACTAACGCTTAAACAATTCGAGAACAGATCAAAAATTCTACCGCTGGTTTGCAATTATAGGTCTGCATTTTCTAGCCTTCGAGCATCAAGCCTTCGATACAGTTGATAACTCTAATGTTCTTGCGAAGTGCCATATCTATGCCCTATTCACTACAGTATGTTTGCCATCAAAGTACCGCTTCAAACTTGAAAACAGTAGAAACATAAGTCCCTTAGTGTGAGAACACACAGCAGACTAGAAGAAAAATTTGAAATATTAAACCTGTAGGTGTAATTATTGATCAGTATTTCTTTTTTTTGGAAATGAATGACGCTAATACAAAAGTTATCAATTTTTTTCAGTTTTGAATGTCATAGGGTTATTTTACTTAAAACAACTGTTCATTAAACAGTTTAAAAGAAACTTTCTTCTCATAAATCTTTTGTAGGCAAAAAAAATTGAAGAAGCGCAAACTATAAGACGAAACCAAATTTTGTAATTTTTCTATAAGGGAGAAAAACTGCTCTGCATTAATAGGATTCTCAATTGATGTAGGTGTGGCTAATTTAAGGAAGCTTACATATTGTTCAGTTTTGTTGACAATTTTATTGAAAACAGCACTAATTATTGAGCAAAAAATTATAAAGTTGATCAAAAAACTGCTGCTCAAAAATCAGAAGTCAAACTGCAACAACGGTTTTCTGCCACAATGCTGAGACGGAATTTTACAAATGCTGTTTTGGTTTGATTTTTTTTTAGTCGAAAGGTTTTGAGCAAATTGCAATTTGAAAATTAAAGATTCCAATTTTCCAGTTAATTGCCGGATTTGTAACTTAAAGTATCAATGGAGTTGTGTGAATGTAACCAAGAGACGCCCGGATTTGTAAAGTGCATGTGGCTTTTAAAATATTAATTTTTATAAAAAAAAGCAACATCTTGTCTTGTTAATTCTGTTTTAAACCAGGAAAGATTTGTCGTACTCGGTCACAAAGCGAAACTGAAAGAAAGAAGGTAAAACCATGAGAAGCTACAGAATGAATTGGATAAAATCGAACTGGAAGAAGTGCTTGCTGTTTTGCCAGCAGACCAAAAACGTCCAAAAAAATAAAATAATAAATGTGTTGTGGTTAACTTCATTGCCACTGTCAAAAGACAATTTCGACCTTTCAAAGACTGACTTCAGAGTATTAGATATAATAAACCTCTTTTGAAAGAATACTCCAAGTGTGATGGTTGTCAACAAGAATTTGACCTGCAACTAGCTTTTCTTTTGAAAAAAGGGGGATTGGTGTTATTACGTCATTACGGTTTTCGGGATGCAATAGAAGACCTGGCTTCCATGCTCTGAAAAGGAGACCATTATAAAAAACGCAGATAAAAAACGTGGTACCCAGCATTAGTT